AAGAGTAGGTGTCTCTAGAAAGTCGTGTCGTCATGTCATTCAGTAGGTGTTACCTTTTTTCTGAGTCAGCACTAAGCAAATGTCCCAGCCTGGTGCTGCAAAGTGCCAGTTTGTAGATGACATTTACATCTGCGGTCCTAAAGGCTTGTGATTATTGAAGCTTGTGTAATAGTTTTACTAAGATTAGACATTAGCTCTAGCATGTTGGCTAGAGGACACAAGACTGAACGGGACCTCCTGGCCTTACAACATGCTATGGGTCAAAGCAAAAAAGACAGGGTCACTGCAAGTGCCCTGTCACTGCAAGAGCAGCGAACTAACAGGATTACCTCAACAATCTCTAAAGTGATGCCCCTCTGTGATTTCAGGAAGAAATCCTCTTTATCTTCACTTTCTGTCCTAGATCATAGTGTTGGGTGCAGAGCACAGCTGATATGTTTTGAGGGCACTGTGTTTTGGTGGATACGGCTGTTCCTGAAGACCATATTTTCTCACATACCACACACCTGCAAAAAGACATGCACCTTCTTTTTAGAAGAGAGAATGCAGAAAAAAATATTTTTCCACAATCAGGGTCTAGAGTTGGCTTTTTCATAATGAGGCTGTGTTGCAAAATGGCTGCCAGCTTTCCTCTGAACCAGCAAGCTGAGAGCATCTGTGAAAAGGTTAACATTGGACTCCACCCCTCCTGCTTGCTGGCTGAGAAAGAAGCTGACAGCCATTTTGCAACACATTGTCTTCATGCTTCTATTCTTCTTCTTCTTCCATGTTCCTGTTCCAGTGGAAACAAATCAAGTGCCTCACTTAAGACATGCACCCCAATTTGGGAGCACTGATTTTGGGGGAAGGGATGCATGTGGTATGTGAGTAAATATAGCATTGATAACTGTATGTTATACATAACTGTATTCCACTTTCCAGCACCCTCTCCCTTCCCCCGCTGTTTTGAAATGGGGAGAGGACCAAGCCTGTTCCTTTGGTGGTGCTGGTGGTGGTAGTGATGGTGATTATAAAGCATTTTTATAGTGGTGGTGTTACTGTGATGGCCCAGGGAATGTGAGAAGACCAAGATTATACAACATTTCCAATGTGGTGGTGCCCAGAATCAGCAGCCAAGAATGAGCCTCCATTGGGCTTGGTGCTGTACAAACACAAAGACATTATTTCCCTCTTCAGCATGTACAGTCTACCTAGACAGGACAGGCCCAGGGTAGGGGGAGTAAGTCTGCTGCATAAGCAGAATGAACAATGTGATGGCAGCAAATTTTGTATTTGTTCTGTTTTGGGAAGGGACTCAGGGAAAGAAGAAGTGAAAAGGAAGGGATGCGGAGAGAAGGGGAGAGGGTAGAGGCCTGGATGTGATGCAACAAAAAATTAAGTGGAGGAAGGGGAGAGAGCAGACATCCAGGTGGAACAAGGCAGGGAGCATCCAGAAAGTTCTCTGTGGGCACATCTACACATGCAAGTAATGCACAACAATAAACTCTGGTTCAGTTCATGCTGGGGTTTATTGGTCCGGATGCCACATTTGAACATGAGCCTGGGACTGCAGCACAGCCAGGTCAGAGCAGCCCCGGCTGGCATGGGGCAACCCCCACACTAAAGCACCCTCATGCCCCAGCCAGCCCCATCAGCTTCTACACGTGCATTGCTGTGAAGTTAATTAGCTGGCACTGTCCTGATAGCACTGCACATGTAGATGCTGAGACGCTTACCGCGGAGCTAATTAGGCAACACGACAGTAAACGTCTCATGTAGATGCATCCTGTATGTCCGAAGTCATTGCTTTGGGTCCTTCTGCTTCACTTCAACTTCCTACATACTGGAGTCTGCCATTCCAAGGAACTAATGAAGTTGGGCCACACCATTGGTTCAACCACCCGTGATGGTGGCACAGAGCCTCAGACTCTGCAACACCTGCTGCAGTGCCCGCTGCTCAAAGTACCTCATGAAGTACATTAAATGAGCACAAGCATGCATAGCAAAATGGTCAAGTGTGGTGTGGAGACATGAGAAGTACTGCAGGTAATGCATGGCTGTCGCTAGGGAAGCAGAACAGATGGGGGGCTACAGCAGAGCAGCATGCTTCCTCTGTCTCCCTCCCACGTGGCCACCAGTCTGGCAGCATCTGTTTTCTAGCGCTGGCATTATTTTAGGACACAACATGCCAATATTGAAAGGAGGCTAGACGAACTGAGGAGTATCTCCCAACAAGCTGCCTTTGTTTAGCTGCAGAGGCAGTGTTTAAGTTAACTCTGCAGTAATTCATGACATGCCTCTTCTATCACCCCTCGGAGGATGGAATGGATTCAGGCAATGTCAGTAAACCCACAGCTGCAGGGTTGAAGCAGTGCTGTGATGTTGGCTGGTTATGCTCTAGCGCTGGCAGGAAATACAAGCAACTTTGTGCTGACTGGGAGCTCAGTGGTGGTAATAACATAATCCCCCGAGGGAACTATGCATTCTCCTTTTCCCCTACACTGGCAAGGAAAATACCACAGGCTCCAACCAGAATTCCTCCTTCTCACCAGGCTGGCACATACCCGCTGTATACGTTTGAGTAGGAAAGGGGCAATGGCATAATATGACCCAATGAATTTTGGCTGGGGGGATCAGTTTCATGTATTTTCCAGGAGGCTCCAGACTTCAGACTCTGTTTGCATTGCTTCTGTCAGAGGAACGGGTAGAAGGGAATATGGGTAGAAGGTAAGGCAGTTTGGCCTTTAAGCCAAACAGGCTGCTGGGGGCAGGAATGTCACACGAAAGAGCTGTTGTACTGCACAGATATGTGGAGATCCTTCAGGTTTCCAGCCAGCTGTTTCCCCATAAGTCTGTGGTTCCATGCTGCAGGCAAGTCATGCACCACCCCCTTCTCTCACTGCCTAATCCATTTTTAAATGGGCATAATGAGAAGTGGTGTTAGATCTCAGTTTTATCATTCCGCAGGTATGTGTGTAGTACAGCACAGAGTTTGTAAAATATTTTGATCCTTTGAGATGAAAGGCTGAATGTAACAGTAGGATGAAGTACAAGAAGGAGGAGATGCCTGGTGTCTGGCGGCAATAGTGTTCAAAGTATTCTGGGACAGTGCATTGATATTTGGAGACATTCCTTTATAAAATATATTCTCCCCTCCCCAAGTATCTATGCACTGTCCCAGAATACTTTGAACACCTTTGCTGCCAGACACCAGGCATCTCCTCCTTCTCGTACTTCATCCTACAGTACCACCAATGCATCATGCTTTCCTCAGCGGAATATGTGCAGGTCAAATAGGTGTCAGTAATGCTACATCCAGATTCAGGGTTTTTCATGAACATGCATTAGAGCAGGGCTGTCTTTGGCTAAGGACAGACATTCAGAAAGTCTGAGCCTAAATTGATTCAATCTTGCAGGTTAGTATAACCTGGCTAGGCTGAACCAGTTTGTAACTGGACATTCTCTCTGGACTGAAGAAATTCAGGCACGTGCCTGCAGTGGCTTAGGCTAGAAGCCAGGGGGTGCTAGAACAGCCCTCCCTTCCCTTGGACAGTACTGAGCTGGTAGAGGGGGGGTATGGTCAGGCTCCCACAGGACCTCTGATTAAGAAGGTCTGCCTGCTTTTCCCTGCTGGCAAGGGGTGGGAGTGTTGCCAGACCCCCAGACCCCTGCTAGTACTCTGAGGCAAGCGGGGGGAGTGCAGTGCATGCATCTGTTGATGATGCAGAGCTTTTCAATCTCCCTCTCCCTGCTTCTTTATACTAAACTGACAGGCCAAACCAGCAGAGGGCTGATAACAGTGATTATCACCTCATCAACAAATCAACAGGCTCTCTCCTTTAGTTCAAACTCATCTTAATCAGCTTACAGCTGACCCATTGATTAGCTCCAAAAAGCCTGTTCTGTCTGCCTGTCCCAGTGAAATTGGAGAGAAACACACATATTAGCTAGCATACCACATGCTTAGGGTCCATGAGGCTGGGGTCTGTGCTGTGGGAGATGGGAGGGAGGGAGGGAGGGGGAATTCCTGCTTAGGCAGCAAACAGCATGGGGGAGTGGGGAGTAGGGCAGGGGGAAGTCAGGCAGACCCTGCTGTACCTGTAGTCCAGGGGTGGGCAAAATGGGGCCTGGGGGCTGGATGCAGCCCGCCAAGCCATTCTGTCTGGCCTGTGGCACCCCTAAAATTTTTAGAAAATTTATATTTATCTGCTCCTGGCTGCCTGTCATGCAGCCCTCGATGGCTTGCCAAAATTCAGTAAGTGGCCCTCCGCCCAAAATAATTACCCACCCCTACTGGCCCAAGGGGAGGGGCCAGCCCTGCTGTGGAGCAGAGAGCCCTGCCCAACCCAGAGCATGCCGGGATGCTGGGGGTGTCTGGTTTATCTTAAATCAGCAAGGGGTCTGGGACAGACATTGCATAAACTGGTTTGACCCAAATCAGTTAAGTCTGATACTACGTTCAACCAGGTTTATCACAAACTGGTTTCAGCCATTTTCAAACTGGCTTATGTGTACTGAACCTCTGTTCTGTTACAGGTTTAAACCAGTTTCTGATCACTTAAACCGGTTTATGTGTAATGTCTGTCCCTAGTCTTTGAGTTATTTTAACCTTGCCTGGGTCAGAAGCCAGTAAAAGGTCTAGTAGAAGTTGTCCTCCTCCTATCTGGGGTAAATGAGCACACTTAGCAACTGTGCTTAAGAAATGTGTAGATACACACATACAGTCTGTACATGAGATTGGGAGGGGGGCTTGTGGGCTCCAAAGGGACTGGTGTGAGGAGCGTTACCATAGAGCCAGTAATAAATAGCAGCCATCTAGTTATGACCAGCCCATGGCTGCTTTCACTGGAGGGAGTAAAGGCAGCTTTCCATTGCTACTCATATCCTCTCTGTGCATTTGGTGAGAGCAGGTAGGGAAAGGACACAGGAGAATGGCAAAGGAGAGGCTAGAGGAAGAACAAAGGTGAAAGGAGGGAAAAGAAATACAAAATAAGACAAATCAAAGGTTGAGAAACCAGCATCTAACCTGGCCCTAGGCTAAATAGTTGGACCTGTGCTGCAGGGTGCTGCAGCCCAGGGCCGACTACTAAGCCTGGCCCTAGGCTAAGTAGTCGACTGCACAGTGCTGACACATCCATTTTGCTTTCTCCTTGTCTTCCCTATTGGGTCCCCATAGCTCCACCTTTCTTTGGCTGCAGTTGTTCACGTATTCCTGGACCAGCATGTTTTCCCAGGCTGATTCATTCCAGTGACGATGAGTTGCTTAGATGTGAATCAGGAGTGAAAATGACTTGACCCATGGTGTAGTTCCTGGTCAGGTTTGACTACTCATTTTCAGCTTTTGTCATCCTCCACTATTTGGGGTACCATAGAGCGTGAAGGTCAGTGCACAGAAGCCTGGCCAGTGCCTTCCATTGGGTGATCAGGGTAGTTGCAGATTGCTGTGAAATGTTGAAGTCTGACCAAAGCCAAAAGGAATTGCAAATGCTTCTCGAGGGTTAGGCTGGAATAGCGGAATTCACTCCTGGCAGATACCATACATAAGGTCTGTGATGCCCTCAAGTCCTAGTTTAGCTAATGCTTCAATGAGAATCAGGCTGGCACCTTGAAGAAGGGTGAGTTTAACCCCAAATGGCTATTTTTGCATTAATCTGATGGGATATGGAACTATTGAAATGTTCCTACAAGACACAATGTGTAATATGTCAGTACATACTAAGCGTGCATTTACACATGGGAGCACTCTCTCCAAGTGTCAAAGCAGCAAAAAGCAATGGAACAAAAATGCAGTGACAGACTCTCGGTCGCTTGATCTGGAGCAAAGCTGATCTGATTACTGACAGAGGAATAGCTGCCTAGGTTGCAGTACTACAGAAAAGGATTTGGGGGTAACCGTAGGCCATAAGCTGAATGCGAGCCAACTTATTCTCTTGTTGCAAAAAAAAAAAAGCCAACAGCATCCTGTGTTGTATTAACAAGACTGTCAGTTGCAAATCAAGAGAAGTGATTCTTCTGCTCTGTTCAGCACTGGTGAGGCCTTACCTGGAGTACTGCATCGTTTTGGACCCCACACTTCAATACAGATGTGGACAGTTTGGAAAGAGTCCAGTGCAGGGCAGCAAATATGATCGGGGCCTGGGAGATAAGATTTACTGAGGAAAGGCTGAAATAACTAGGGTTATTTAGCATGGAGAAAAGAAGACTGAGGGGGATTTGGTAACAGTCTTCAAATACCTGAAGGGTGATTATAGAAAGGATGGGGATGGGTCTTTCTCTGTGGCAGTAGGGGACAGGAGTAGGAGCAATGGCTTCAAGCTGCAGCAGGGGAAATTTAGGCTGGAGATTAGGAGGAACTTTCTGACTATGAAGATGGTCAGGCATCTCAGCAGGCTACCTAGAGAAGTTGTGGAATCGCCATGCTTGGAAACCTTCAAAAGCAGGTTAGACAGATACTTAGCTGGTATGGTTTAGTTAGGGATGATCCTACCTTGAGCAGGGGGCTGGCCTAATTGACTTTATGAGGTCTCTTACAGCCCCACTTTCCTATGACCCTAAAAGTAAAAAAAGCTCAAGCTCCTTAATACAGGAGTCGAGGGATGAGAGCAAGCCCCTTATTTGCTTAGGAGGAAACATGAACTTGTATGAATTACCACAACCATTTATTTAAACAGGGAGCCATGCAGTTTTGGAAATGCACTGTAAAAACAACAACAAAGAGTGTAGAATTGCACTACAGCAGATTCTTTTCCTTTGCGGTAACCTTCAGTATCTAAGTTTACTGGTTTGCGACTCTACCTCAGTGGAGAAATAGCATATGAATACACAGCTTTTAGGAAACTGGGGAGTAAGAAAACATTAAGCAGGGCAGGAAAAGGCAGACAAAATGGTACAAGGTTGATTTAACAAATATTTAAAATCTGAGTCATCATCTCTCAGGATGTAGACTTCCCACAAAAATGCCCACAGGCATTTGTGAAGATAATTTGTGTCCACCATGCCTCAGAGCAGTTCTGTAAGGATGAATTCCAAGAGACAGCAAGGATGTCTAGAAAAAAAATCACGTGCATCTTTGGAGAATTCTGGCTGCAGAACATGTTATGTGAGAACGTTGGAAAAACAAAGTGTAATTACTTGCAATTAGCAAAGTGCAATTACCAATGGACTTTCCTGCAAAAAAATATATAGTATACTGGTATTTTGTCTTTAAAAATTAGAATCCCTAATTTTGCTTTGCAGAAGCTTTAAAAACTCCCTACGTATCTACTATGAAACAAGCAGTGGAGTTGGTTTTAGTGATAATGAGTACAAATGCAATGTATGGGTCTCCTGTTGCTATACAGATGTGTTTGTTGCTTTGCTAATGTGAACAGATAGTTAAGGCTGAGCCTACCTTCCTTGCCTTGTTCCAATTCAGACTGAGCCACATTTTGACACACCTGACTCAGTCATTTTATCAAAGTGAAAGGCAGGCCTTAATCTCATTATATTGTTACCATTCTCAATGATGGGAAGCTTCTCTTCCGCTCTTTCCTCTTCCCAGCCAGCTATGGAGACATTAGTAGTTCTGGAAATGCAGCAGTTACAGCAGAATGCTGTCTCACCATAAACCTTCATAGTAAATGTCTCTCTCCAAAAACAAAGAAGGCCACATTCCTTTTTTTTCTTCAAAAGGATGAATTTAGAACAAAATGTTGTGCAACTCCCCGCAACCTTCGTGCTCATAGCCAACTGTTTTTCCCATAGAAAGCAATGGGAAGGCAATTTGTTTCCATTTCAGCAGTTTTACAGGGGCATGAAAGAACCGTGGAGACACTCTCTTCCACAGAAATACACCCCCCCCCCGATCCTACTTTCATGATACCTGATCTTTATTCTAATAAATATTTGTCAGGCACAAACAGTTCTTTTTCATTCTGCAAGGGAGAGTAATGAGCAGAGCGGTCAGAGACTGCCTGGGTGGCAGTTCCAAATTTGAGGAACAAGAGACTCCCTGTGTCTTCAAGTCCAGTTCTCTGTTATTGGAGGTAACCAGGTTATATAATCACTTTCATAAACTCGCTGAGCTTTGTCTTAGAGGTAGGAGTGTTCCCTCTTCCTACTCAAAAGCAATTCCAAAACTTCAGTGCTCTAGGGCACTGACATGCATGGAAAAAGCTCCACAAACTGCGCTTTGTTGGAAGTAGCAGCGCATTAGTTGGACCTGGCTCCTCAGCATCTGTATAGATCGGGTGCTTCAGCAGGGCTTTTTGTTGCTTTTAGCTAAAGTTGATTAAATCGGCTATTAGATAAAAGTGCCAAAATGCCCTGTTGAAGCACCTGATCAATACAGATGTTTGGCGAGCCAGGCCCAACTAGTATGAAGCCTCTTCTGGCCATGCGCTGGGCTCAGCACAGGGGTGCACGGAGTTTGAAGTAAAACACCATTTTTTTAATGTATCTGTAAGCAGCCCTAGTGCTTAGGAACCTCCTTGTTTCCAGCCTAAATTTATTCATGGCCATTTTGTATCTTATGCCAACATTTGTCTCTTTGCTTGAGTAGATTTTTCCCCCTGGTGCTTGGTCTGGAGCCCAACCATGTCCTTGCTCAGCCTTCTTTTTGCCAGGTTAAGCCAGCCAAGATCTTCTTGCCTCCTCTCCTAAGAGATGCTCCATTTCCTTCAGCATCCTGGTAGTCCTTTCTCTGTGCCTGCATCATTTTGAGTGCCAGTTGTTCAAACTGCTGTGCAGAGTTAGGGGCCTACATGGTCAGCTAACACAAATTAGACAAGAAGGGCAGAGTCTTGTTTCACCTAGTGTAGGGCCATCCAGTGGCAGCCTGGAATGGGTTAATCTGCAGCCCCAGGCTCCTAAAAGACCAGCACTCCCCGTATTGTTTCAGCTGTGGCTGCAGTCAGGCTCTCCCAGCTTCTTTTCCCTCCTCTGGCTTCCACTTCCTGCAGAAGCCCACTGCACAAGGCAGGGGGGAAGGCCACAGCCAGTTTGCTGAGGGTCGTGCTACCCAGTGCAGCAGTGATGGGGAGGCTGCCTAGGTATGTGGTACAGCGAGCCCATGGCTTGCACTGTTGAGGCCCCTGCCGGGGTGGCTTGTGCAGGGAGCAGCCCCTAGCAGCTTAGAAATTGGACAGTCCTGACCTGGTGAGAAAACAAGGTGCAGCTTGAGACTGAGATACTGAACAATTGTGTTGGAGCAAGTAGTGGAGGTATTGTACCATCTTCCACAGATGCACAGACATCTTCCTATTGGTACAAAGGCAGAAGAGAGATGGAGTCAAGCCTTCAGGTTTCTCAGTGTGGGGTCCTGCCACTTCATTATCAGGTAGTGAGCAGGAAGTGCCAAATGCTTCAAAGAAGAAAATGAAAGCTGCTTTTTAACTTCAGACACCCCCTCCTCAACCCCAGAAAACAGCCACTAAAGCACCTGACATATGCATGTGCATGCACATGCCCCATGTGTCTCTGGGGAAGGATGTGTATGGACATAATACCAGAGTGCCTTGGTTTGTCCAGATTAGTTATCTAGATTACAGGGCACATTGTGAAGCTTAATGTAGTAACGTGTGAAGGATGGAAGGTAAGATCACACTACAAGGTAACATTTTGAATCACCACAAAAGGAAAAGTTGTGACAGGAAAATACAAAAATAGGAAAAAGAAAGGTGTTAAATGAATCACTCCTAGTCTGATGCAAGAGAAATTAGGAGAGGGGGAAAAGGAAAGCTAATTACTGCATTCACTAATACTGTCATATTTTATGTCCAACAGGTACCTCTGTCACAAATTGCTTTCAGCTCTGCCCCTCCTCCTCAGATCCTGTACAATCCAGCTCAGCAGATCCTGACATATGCTGGCTTTTGTCCGTCTGCAGCAGCCATCCCTGCATACTCATCTTATCCTTTACCTCTCCAGGTACAGTATTAATTCTGTCCCTCTTGTTAGTCTTCTTGGAAACCAGAGGATATTCATCGGTATATAAACTGCAGTAGTAAGTCACATGCTTTGGAGATTTAACGGTAGTAGAGAAGATCGCTGATCTATTAGAGAATACTTGTTTAAAGTCATGCGATGTTCAGTTATAATGTTGTTTGGCTGCTGCCTGCTGGTGGGTAACTGCTGTGATGTAACTGGATTCGCTTAACATCATTTCACTTAAAGACATTTTTCAAGAACATAACTATGACTTTAAGCGAGGAGTAGCTGTACCTTGAAATGTGAGCTTGGAGACACCAGTGGGAAGAATGGAGGAGCTATAGTAGAAAACCTCCATCCTTCCTTGTGTATACCCTGAAGTGACTTTTAGGAGACAGCCTTCCAGGGACTGCTGGGGAAAGCAGGCAAAGACAGTGTCATGAAGAGTAATTTTATCATTTGGGAGGGGTGCTACTTTTGCTCTTATACACCAAAAATATGGTAATCACGAAGTAGTTATAAAGCAACATATGACCTGTGGGCCAGATGCAGCCCTTGCAGCCACTGGATCCAGCCATAGAGCTCAAGGGTTTTACCTGTGTCAATCCTATGCTGGAGTCAAGCAGTGAGGAGCTGTGCCCACGCTGCTGCCGCTTCTCTCCTTCCTCCCCCTGGCTGCAGTGTGGGCAGCTTCCAGTGGGTGGGGATCTGCATTGAGGCTGAGCAGCTTGCATCTGCACCCACACTGCAGCCAGGATGTGATGGGGGCAAAAAAGAAATGGGGGAAATGAAAGGGAAGCAGGTCAGAGCAGTAGCAGCACAAATGCAGTTTCTAGCATTCAAGACCTGACAACTCCCCACTAGCTGGAAGCTGTGCCTGTGCTGCAGCCACAGAGTGAGGGGGAGTGCACAGGGAGAAGCGGTAGCAGCGCAGATGTAGCTCTTAGCTTCCTGGCCATGGTGCAGCTCCAAGGAAAGCCCCTGTTCTGCTGCTGTGCCATCAGAGGCACTCAGCCTGCACTGGACCAGAGCAGGGCTGTTCTGGCCCATGGCTTGTTAAAGGTTGCTGGAACAAGATAAGTACCACTAGCATCACCACAATCTCCTCTTCCTGTGGCTTCAAGCCCTGTCTGTTTTTTTGACAGAACAAGCCTAGACAGTTAGCCTGAGAGGAGGGAGGTGCCTGCCTGCAGCCTGCATCAGATGCCTAAGCCCTAGAAAAAGGGCTGGTGATTCACTTACTCCCCATCATCCCAGCCTTTCCCAACAGTAAGTGCCAGGTAGCTCTGAGCATGCAGATTTTCTGGATCACTATTCAGAGACATTAAACTCTCCCCCTGCATCATACAAAGAGACAGGCCCATTTCTCCTTCACTGAATCCAGCTGTCTCCATCTCTGATCCTTCAGAAGCAGGCCATGTTGATAAATCAGTTTAACTGTTTGCAGGCTGCATAGGTACCGCAGGGAGGTAAGCCACAGAAGTAGGTGGATTAAACTGATATGCACCATAGAGGAACTCATAAATACTTGCATCACTAAATGCCTAGTAAGAGCTGTGATGCCAGTACAGTTGTAAAACATCAGATTCTGAAAACTTGATGTGGTCAATCACATCTGCATAATCTAGTGTACACATCACATACCTTCATGCACTGGCAGAGAGACAGTAATGAGGGACTACTTCCAATTCTCAATGAAAAAGCTCCAATTTTCTAAGTGTTCAACAGAGCAATTAAGTGTAGATTGAGAGTACAGAAATGGTCTTTAGAGAAAAGAGGATCAATATAAAACAACTGAAGAGACCACAGAAGTAAATGTAGAATTCATGTCAGACCATACAAACTGCTTGCTGTCTTTAACCAGAATTTCCAAATACACTGCAAAATAAACAGATTAATCCCTTTTCATATATTGCTAAATATTTTTTAAATTAGTTCATTTTCCTTTCCCTTTCTACCTGATAGTCAGAGGCAGTCAGCTGACAGCTTGGATTTCCACAGTTGCAAGCTATTAATCCCTCTCCAAGAAAAAAACAGCTTTCCTAAATGTAAGATATAATCATGTTGCAGTGTGGAGGGAATGAACAGCAGCACTAGTATAAAAATCTTATTTATATGAGTGATTGCTAGCTTAGTGAGGATGTTCAGTCTACCGAGACAATCATCATCCTATTTGAAATTTTTGTAAGTAACAACAAACCAGTTCTGAAATAACCATATTTTTAGGCTACAACCATCTTTATTAGTGAGGAGATATCTGGGTTAGGTCTAGAAAAAGATTTAGGTGCCGAAGGAGGGTAGTCAGATGAGGTTTGGATTCCCAAGTCCATAATGTAGATCTTCCAAATCAGCTGCTTCTTAGCCTTTGAGGCATCTAATGTCCAGAGGTGGACACTTGTTCATCATCAGTCCCTACAAGCCTGTATCTGAGCATATCCTGGTCTTGACACTACTGAGTATCTAAACCCTATTATCCACAAACTGAGCATTCTTCTGTTTTGGCCCCATGCAAGGTTTGCTGCAGTAGGTGGTCTCAGAACTCACTGACCAGACTGTGCCGCATACAAAATAGTGATGCCAGCCCCAATTCCAGGAGAAGCCTTGGAACTGTATATTCCAATCAGAGATAGGCATGGCCTGTAGCCCTAAGTAACCTGTTTATCTCCTGTAGTGGGGTGACATTTAAGATGCATCTTTTCCAGAGTATCATCCACATGCTGGCTATTATAGATACCATTCTAAATAGAACATCAGTCTCCCTAGGCATTGTACAGCTTAGCTGGACATTTATAATGAGACAAAATGTGTGAGTTTTCAGTTACTCCACACTAGTTTACTGATAAATCAAAGATCAAACTGAATATATACAACAGGGAAATCATGTTAGTTATTTATATAGAATGAAAGTCACAAGTGACTTACACCTACTGGAGCCTTAAGCTGGTTCTACGCTTTCATTTTGCCGACATAATTGGTTAGGGTTGGAGTGCTATTCCAGCAAATATCTTACTGACAATGCAGTACACCACCAAACACATTGTCCACAGTGGAATCTGTCACCAATTTAGACGGCCAGGCTCCCTAGACCAGCAGTGCTTAATCTTGTGGCCGTGTGTGCCAGGTAAGTGGCACTGGGCCAGTCTGCATGCTGGGATTCAGTCCCAGGGGCCCTGTCAGCCTCCCACACCAGGATTGGGCACTAGGGCCTGACACAGCTCTTGTGCTGGCACCGGATCCAGCCCATAGGGCCCAAGGCTCCTCATGAGTCTGGAAATTTGGTAGCAGTAAAGTTATAGAATGTCAAATCTTGAAAATCCAATATGGTTAGTTACTTCAGCCTGTTCTAGTGTACGGGATGTTGGTGCCTCACTCTAGACTGTAAGGAGATACTTTCCTATATTCAGGATGCACAACTCTGAATGCTCTCCTCGTGCAAGACTGCTAAGATCTGTTTCAAAACCAGAGCACCACCACCACCCGTTCATGCAGGCTGAGAGAGATAAGAATTCAGTTTCTCTCTCTGCCTGAGGGTATCAAACCCACACCTCCACCCCACAGAACATGCAAAGATTCATTAGGCTACAAAGAATGAGTAGAGTATGTTCAAGAGAGAAGCTGATGCTCTACCCTAGTGCATTCACCTGGGTGAGTGGTTTGCAGTTGCACTAATGTGTGTGTGCATGTTCAATGGCCATTTGCTATACACCTCCCACAAGCAGATAATAGCAAAACATGACATGAGGAATTTGGATTTTACAAGTATATAAGACAGAGTTTCTGTTTGTAAAGTTAGAGCTATTTCTAGAAGGGATTAATAGCACAGGTTATTCTTTAATGCTGTAATCTAGTTCTGCTCTTTGGTAACAGACCGGCTATCTGATCTGGTGAAAGGATAATTGTGCAAATGACGCTAACAGGACTGAATCATTACCAACCACCAGAAATCAGATGATAGAGAAGATTCTTGGTTCATTGTGAAACTGTCAGAAGTGGCTTTAAGGGCTGGTAAAGCCATGTTCTATAGCAGTGTTACTACTATTATCTAGTTAGACTAAATGACCTTTGAAGGTGCCTTCCAGCCCTGCTTTTCTATGATTCTGTCTTTTCAACTGTAATATGTCAATGCTACATTTGTATCTTAAAAGTTCAGCTTGTGTGAGACATACCCAGTACCCCCCGTCCCCCTTTGCAGGCATAACTAATGCTATTTAAACTAGTTCATATATAAATGGAGGAAACAATTCTCCTTTCAGACCCACACAGGGGCTCTTGACTTCAAAGTTTTGCTGTCTGCTTTCAGAGAACTCCTTTTGAGAGATCCATGCATGTAAGGAGAGAACACCATTTCCAAGAGGAGGAGCTAGCCTAGTTGCAGGGACGGTGCTAGTGTTCTAGGAAAGAATGGCTGAGGTAATACTGGGACAGTGGAGTTTATCTGCCAGGATTTTATATTTGCCGTGAAAGATTTTCATTTTCTTTTGGGACTGCACCTGGGTGCTCAGCACTTACACTGAAGCCCATTGCATGGCATGTGCTAACATGTGGGGGTTATTGGAAGTAACATTCCCATTGCAAACAGTGTCAGGATTTCACTCCAGATCTGTCCAAAAACTTCCCCTGTGATTTTTTTAAACAAATGGTGTGATTGATTATCTCTCAAACAGGGCTTGATTTCATAAGCACTGTTCTTACTGAAGAACCAGTCCAAAGGGCCTAGAGGGGTGTCAAATTCATCTGGCCCCACAGTCCAGATGAGTGACATGGGGTCAGTCAGTGGGATCCTAGATCCCATACTCCCCCCGCATCCAGCCCATTCCTGGATTCATGCTGCATGTCGTCTACATCCCAGAGCAATTGAGGTGGGCATCACATGTAGTGCAGATCCTGGATCAGCTGGAACAAGTGGCATGGGCAGTGCAGTCCAGCTGGGGCAGGCACTACATGGCATGAATCCCAGAGCAGCCAGTGGGCACCATGCTACACATGACATCTGCCCAGCCAGACTGTGCCACCTGTTTTAGCCACAGGGGAGGGAGCTGTTCCAGGGTGGCTGCTCCACATGGTCCAGGACCTGTGGGCACCCCGTGCAGTGCTGGTTCCAGACTGGCTAAAGCAGGTGCAACATGCAGTACACATCCAGGAATGCGTGGGTGGGTGCTGTGTGTGGCACAGTTTCTGGAGTGGCCAGGATGGATGTCCTGCCCGAGGGTTGGCCCGGGTCCATTCAGACAGAGGGGCAGCACCTGGGGATAAATAACAGGCTGTATGTTTGGCACCACTGACTTAAAGTTTCAGTGTTAAACCAGGTCAGAAGTATAGCCGCTCAAAAGTACTTGCCCTGTAGACCATAATGGTTCCAGTAGATAAAAGAATGTGGATTTTATCCACAAATAAAACATTTCTATATAAGGCCTTTAGCCCTTACATCAGCCGGGGCCAAACTGTTTGGCAGGTGTGCCACAAATTAAGCACCACACCCTCCCTAAGTGCCACTTCAGTCCCACTCCTCTGCCCTACCTGCTGCTCTTTTTTCTGCTCCCTGCTGCTGTGCTGCCTGTTTGCTCCCTGACCTACCACATGCCACAAGCAGGGGCTGCCCATGCTCATTATGGCTCCTGTGCTGCAGGTTGGCCACCCCTGCCTTAAACTTTCCAAGTATCAACATGGATTTAAATAAACAGCTCCACACATCTTGAAGATCAGTCAGAAACAGTGATTTACCTGGAAAAGTAGAGCGTCTCTCTTACAAACATATGTTTTGGGGGGGGGGGGGGGGGGGTGTTCTTACAGTTACTTTCACGCAGACTAATTTGTAGCTTAAGTCTTACTGAAAACTTAAACCTAGATTACAAAGTATAAACTGTGTCACCTTGATATGCATTGTATGTAATAATCTTAACGAAACCTATACTATAGTAACTGCTGCAATAAAGATGCCCAAGAGGTTTAGCTCTAGGATTTATTATTTAATATTTATATGTTATATATAATACACTTAATACAGCAAATATGCAAGCCTGGTTGCACTCTTGTACTGAAGAAGTTATTTTTCTTTGTCTGATTACAGCCTGCCAGCAATTTTCCAGGATCTTCATCTACAGATATTTCTTTATCTGATGATACTCAACCTCCATCTCACTCCAGCTCTAATTATGGGCTACCTCCAAATGCTCCACCACTATATACACCAACTTATTTCCTGCCAGGGGAAAAACCACCACCATATGCCCCCTAGAGCAGAGAATTGTATTTCAAACAGTCCCCGCCCCCCCTTCTTTAAAGAGACAGACACCTTTGGAAACTGTGCTGCACAGGCAACAGACTATCAAAGAAATCATATGGTGTGCTATGATTGTTCAATTTTTACTTACAAGTCACTATGACTAAACAGAATGCTGGAAGCCTATTGCAGGTGTATCACCCAGAGGAAGTTCTTAGTCACCACTCGGTTTTTATGTAGTCAGCTGCAACACTGCTTTCTGGCTAGCATAAGCATGACTTTTCTTCTCAGCATAATACCTAGTGACTTTTTCCCAGTAGAAAAAGCAAGAAAAAAGAGAAACAAATCACCCACTTTGGATGCTTCGTTCCATTTTTGTAAACTGATAATAGAGTGGTTTTGTAATTTTGATTTAGAAATCTTATAGTATGTACTATATGAGTGGGTAGTCCAGGGCTTTGAATCATTCTGGATAGAAAGAAACTAGAATTTCTTTACCTTAATAGCATTCTTTAGTAGCCCCTTTCTGTTGAAAGCCTTCTAATAAAAATAACATGCCGATTATTTTATAACTGAACAGGCCATGTTTATATCCAAGACTGCATGAATTTCACAAGGAAGGGGAAGCACAGTACAGAGGCAAAGTATCCCAATTAGCTTTACCCTACTCTGAAAGATGAAGTTCAGATATTACACTTTAATAGGGCTGTTTTAACTCTCTTGTCTGAAATGTGTGAATATAGTACTAGTCCAGTTAAGTTATGTCATTGTGTTGCAGGTGCAATTTCCAGATAAGTATTTAACCTATATATTTATTAAAGTGTTAAAAGTTCTGTATTTTTCCATATACTGTAGAAAGTAGATGAGATTGTAACAAAATGAGTTCTTTTCTACTACAGGAAAAAAATAAAACAAACGAGACAAACCAGAAGACCTTGAAGTGGTGTATGCTGACCTCAAGTCTTCTTATTTAAAGAAAAAAAAAGAGTTCTGTAATTTTGTAACAATTGGAATGGTTTGATGAATGCTCAGAGTAACCGAATGGTTTTCCTCCATCTCCACTTTCCCACTACAGAGAATGTAAAAATACATATCATATTATATGAACATACACAATGTATTTCCTATGCAATATCCAAAGGAAATACATGGTCTTTCACTCCCTCTGCTGGATGTGCATCATTAAGTAGCAAGTTCTATTCTCAACTCTAAACACCTATAAATGAGCACCTGAGCATGCTTTAAAAAAAATAAAAGTTACTCTGTTGCCAAGTCCTGGTGCAGTGTTTACTGTGGCACCACTGTTGTGGCACTGTCATTAGCTGTGTGGTAGGGCTATGAGAAGCTTCAGGTGCTGATTCGATTTGAAGATTTGGCCTGACTCAGCAACCGAATCTTCAAATCTGAATCAAATTGGGAGACCAAGAAAAAGGTCTGAATCAATTCGGAAAAGATTTGGAGAACTTCGGAGATTCGGGCAGTCCCTGCTCACCACCGCAGGGAGCTGGACCCAGACTCTGTGCCGGTAAGCAGGGGGCGGGGGTAGGGCTGGAGGAGGAGTGAGCGGACTATGGGGGGACCCCCGTCAGGCCCCAAGCCCTGCCTGCCCCCCCCAGCCCCCATG